TCTTGGTATTAATTCCTTTTTATTGTGACCAAATGATCACCCTGGCAGAAATTCTCCCTGGCCTTGAGCTGGAGCAGCTCATGGGCTGGGAACAGAGCTGAGAAGCTCCAGCCTGGAATATTTTTCAGGCTGTAATTTTCTTACTTTCTCAATATGTGTCCCACACTGGACTGTGCCTCTTCTTCATCTTCCAAACCACAACTCTGCCAGTGGACCTTACCACAGTTCCACACTGGATTTTGCTGCCCAAGGCAGACACATGCACAGAAGCAAGAGCCCCCCAACTTCTGAAGTTTTATTGTATCTGCAGATGCCCAGTGCAAAGCTGGGGGTTCCCTGCTGCTCCTCAGGGGAAGATGCTGTGTTTTGGGAGCAACCATTTTACACATCACCCATGAAATGCAGAGACTCAAACCCACCTTTTGTTGGAAACCACAGGGACTCTCCAGCCTTTGATCTGGCTGAGCTCAGTGTCAGAAATGTCGATCTGCAGGGGCAGGCGTGGCACCCACACCGTGATGTGCAGGGGAGCACTCAGGTACTGATAGGTGAAGTTCACCAGAGCATTTACCTTGCCTTTCATCTCCTTGCCGTTGACAAAAACATAGTCACACCTGTCAGAAACCTGAGAGGGGCAAGAGAAAAGGTGATCACTGTGACAAAACAGTGACAAAACCCTGGCAGCTCAACCCCAAACGAACAGAAAAGGCTCCCTTCTCTTTGTGCATGTTAATGCTGGCACAAATTCCCTCCCAGGCTCGGCAGGCACAGTCATGCTGGAGGTGCCTGAAGACTGGATGCTATTTGTGAAGCCTGTGGTTGATTTTCCATCTGTGAGCCACAAACCCACGGCAGTGCTGGGGAATTCTCAATCAGCAAAGCTCCTTCCCAGCCTGGTCAAGAGGAACCAGCAAACCCAACCTGGTGTCCACAGGGGCCAGCAGCTCATCAAAGCTCTACCCTGAGCATGACCTCCATCAGGGGCTGGTGCTGCTTTCAAGACTGGCTCTGCAGTAGATCTCACCCACTGAAGAGTAACAGAAGTCGACTCATTTCCTCTGCAATAAACATTATCTGTTTATAAATGTTTACATTTTGATTAAAGCTGTAAAGTATTTCTAAACACTAGAGTAGATTCATCATTAATATGTAAATGCTGTCCTGAAATATAAGCAAGCATTATCACAGCCGTGTAAGAGTTATATCAGTAATCACTTCTTTAATCAGTGTTGTAATTTACAGACCATTGAGTTTTCTCATTTATTATGTTACTGAGTACTAGTGATAAAATCACTCCTGGATATATAAATCATTAAGAGAGATGCAGATAGTATGAAGTGACTCCATGTGATAAAGTCATTGTCATTTCTATTCCTGAAGGTGTCATAAATGTCTGGGGAAATCCTGTGGCACATTAATCATGCATTAAGTGGTGAGCAATGGGAGCTGTTACATTACTAAATGAGCTGGTATGTCTGCAGAAATTAACAGCAAACCCAGCAGATCCCAACTCCTGCTCCTGCTCCCACCCTGTCAGAATTCCATCTCATCACCCCTAAGGAGCATCAGTAATGGTGGAAATGCATCTCCCCACCTGAACATTTATTTATGTTATCATCTGCTCCCTTTTCCCCATTCCCAACACCGTTTAATGCAAATGAAGATCAGCTGGCAGTGCTGGTGTCCCCAGACTAACAGATGGAAGTCCTGTGTGACCACAGCTGCAGGAGCTGAACTGCTCCCAGGCTCTGCCCCCTCTCGGCTTTGGGCACTGCTCATACTCAGGTGAAATATTTGATGATGAGATTGCAAAAAGGAACTGCAGAGAACACAACACAACCATTTCTGTGCCTGGTTCCCTCAGAGGGCTGTGCTCTAACAGCTCTGCTGGCTGAAGCACTCTACAAAACCTGACCCATCCCTCTCTTCAGGCTTCTCCCCCAGACCACTGAGGCTTTAAAAGGCTGAAGGGAGCAGAAACATCTTCATTTTAGCACCATGAATGGCATGGCCTAATTTCCCACCTGTTAGCTTGAATGGCAACACAGAAGCAGGTCCAGCTCACACCAGGCTGTTCCAGAATGACTGCTTGATCTGATCTAAAGGCACTGTGCAGCAGAGGTCACAAGGAACCCAATAATGTGTTTAATATCCTATAGAATAGCAGGCAATTATTCAGAACACAGCCCTAGATGGGCTGCTTGTTCTTTCCATGGTGTCTCTGCACCAGCTTCACCCTGGGACAGGAATCATCCTGAAAATGTTTCTCACTGAGCAGCTCCAACTGCAGGCTGTGTGTCAGGAGTGCCAGCCCTGGCTCCTGCCCAGGGAGGTGTTTGTGCCTGGAGCAGGGAGGGACATCCCAGGGACACTCAGCCCCTGGATCTGAGCTGCTGGTGCCCACCCTAGGTCTGGAATGTTCAACAGAGCAGCTTCAGATAAAGCTCTTGGCTCTTCACCCCTCTGAGCAGAAGTGTTTGAGGCTTGTCAGCAAAATGTCACTGAGCTCTGCTTGGAGCAGCAGCCACTGCTGTCCTCAAGCTGGTTCCACGCCACTCCTTTCTGTGGAGTCAGCCCAAAAAGACAAAGTGAACTTTCTGCTTCAGTTGTGCAAGTTGCTTCTCTATGCACGGTGCAAACCACTTGCAAGTGTTGATAAAAGATTTCTGACAATAAACTGAGCTTCAGACTGCTCAGGTCTGGTCCAGATACATGATTTTATATTGTCTGAAGCTCAGTGCTGTCAGTAACTGAACAAATCTAACTGTTGGGGAAAGAAAAAAGAATAACAATAGTAGCAAAACTGCAATTCCAAAATGGTTGTGGGCTGAGATCCCATCTCCATCTGTATTTGGAAAGCTGCTCTAAGTCTTTGTGGGGATGCCACAAACAAATGGCTGAACAAGTCCACACAGCATCCCAAGGAGGTGGCTGAGCCTCACAAAGCCTTTCAGGTTGGTTTTTATGACTGGACATGCATCAGCAACCCTGGCAGGCCTTTAGGAGCTGCATTGCTAAAAACGTTGCTGTCCTCCCTGAGAACAAGCACTGCTCGTGTCCCCCCACGTCCTTTCCTGTGCTCCTGAGAGAGGGGCAGCACTCACACAGGACAGGACAGGACAGGAGGAGCAAAGCTCAGGCTGTGCTGTGCTCTGCCATTCTCAATGCATTTTAACTCTTTCCATCCCTCCTGGAAGCATCATCCATTATTCTCGATAGACAAAGGCAACACCTCCCAGCCAGTGCTGCCCAGGAGAAAACATCTCAGCATCTGAGCACGAGGTGGGTGTGCTCTCTGGGGTTCATGATCCTCATCCTCATGGGATGCTCAGCCAAAGCCATTCCAGAGCTGCATCTTCAGGAAGCAACACACCTCAGCTGGGCCCAGCCACAAGAGAAGAAAAATGAGAGCAAGGACGTTTGCTTTTCTTGCCCTTCCCTCACACAGTGTCACTTAAAACAGAAATAAACCAGGTTTCTCACAGAACAGATGCAGATGCACTGACTCTGCTCCAGTTTAGAACTCCAGCAAGCCCCAGGTAGGCTCTGATTTCATGAGCAGATGCTCCTCACAAAAAAAATGGAACAGGTTGTGTGGTGCCTCAGCTCAGGCTGACTGAGGTGGAAATAACATCCATGAAAACTTCTGGAGTTATTCAGTGCAGGCTTGGCTACACTGTGGGGTAAAACAGGATGGAAACACAGGGCTGACCAAAGACAGTGCTACACAGAATCACGGAGGAAGGATAGAAAACAGATTAAAAAAAAAAAAAAAAAAGGTCACATTAGAACTCATGTCCCAGCTGTGGGTCCTGCCCACTCCAGGACAAGGAAGTTTCCAACAGAAGCTGGAGATTGTCAGCATTGATGTGTCTCTCATCTCCTGTAGTATTTATGCTTTTACTATGAAAACATCCTCCCTCTGAAAGTGCTTTTCATCTCTGGCATCAGAAGAAGTGAGCAATGATGAAGGGAAAGGCTGCTCAGCCACCACCTTTAAGTGATTGGGTTTTTTCTTTCCTGCTTAGCAGATCAGCAAGAAGTTTTGCATTTTAAAGAGCTCTCTGATGCTATTTCAGCAGTTTCTTTCATTATTAAGCTGCATTCAACCCCTTTTCCCTTTTTTTTTCCTATTTTCCTAACTTCTTTCTCCAGATTAAAACGAAAATAAAGAAGCAGACAGCAAAAGACAGGGCTAAGCACAATTCCCAAGAGGCTTCTTCCTTGTCTTTTTCCTGGCATTATATTTCTGTGCCCCCTTCTAACAAAGGCCATTCCCTTTCCAGATGACTTGGATAGATCCTCTCTGCAACAAATCACATTTTATTGAGCTGACAGAGAAAACTGCTGCCTGGAAACCAAGGGAGAGTCACTGCTGTGACTCCACCTGTGCCACCTGTGGCACTCTGACCTGGGCAGGATGTCCCTCTGCCCCTGGCCCTCTGCACTTGGGCTGCAGTGGATTTTAAGGATATTCCTGGAACTGTCAGCAGTCAAATGCAGAAGCTCTGGGTGTCCCTCAGTTCAGATGAAGGTTTTGATGCCAGCTCTGCCCTGCAGGACTGCAGGAAGGGAGCACGAGCTGCTTGTCACAAAGGATGTGACAAGGCTCTGCCTTGGACACCACAGCAGAGAGGGGCTGCTGGCACCTCTGGACAATATTTGGGTTTGCTGGGTTAAATCCCACTAGAGAATCCTGAGAAATCCTCCTTCAATTACTGGTGGGGTCAGAAAGACAAATTTCAGGTCACATCCAAGCTAAGGCTGCCTTTCAAAAGATGCTGAACCCAAAGCTCTGTGTGTGCTGTACACAGCAGTGGAAACAATGACAATTATAAAACCTAAAAAGAAATGAGGGGTTGCCTCTGTGAGTCTACTCCAGGCCAAGCCTGTTTATCCTCCCAGTGGTTTTCACCTCTGGAATACCAGCCCAGCCTCTGAAGGACAGGTGAGAGGGACAGAAAGGGAAGTTTGCAGCAATCCTGGAGGCTGAAGAACTGAGAGGCATCAGTTCATTTTCTAGGTAGAAATCTGTGTGGTTTGAGGACTGAGGAGATGTGGTAACACTGGATGTCCTGCTTGTATTCATCAAGTTCAGAATCTTGCATTTTTGTCTGTAAAGCCATTTACCCATTTCTGTTATACCAAAGTGAATGTTGCTAAAATATTCAAAGGTTACATAAATGTTTAAACATTTATGACAGCACTTCTATGAGCAGAGCTTTTTTTTCCAGTGCCTCTTAGAGGAATCTCAATTTCAGTGAAAAAAAAAAAATAATAAAAATTACAGGATAATCAGCAAAGAATAGCAGTGTTCAGCCCTTTTCATACGTGAACACTCCTTGTGTTTAGCTCAGTGTCATCACTCTGACACCAGCAAGGCACTTGGAACTCCTGGAGCTCAAGCTCTGGGAGCAGCCACTCATTCCACTGAGGAACAGAGCACCAGGATCACTTATTCACCACACACCAACATGGAATTTACAGGAAATATCAGGCAGTGATAATCATTCCACGAGCCTTTGGGATATTCATGTCTATGTTTGGGTATTCATTGCTATAGAATTTCTCCTAAGATTTCTTTCCAACAACATCCTCAGTAGAAAGGGAATTATCCTCTATTAAATTCTGCAGGTTTTGAAAGAGAGACTCCGTGTGGCTCTTTAGCCTTGATTCCAATTAAACACTATGGTTTTATACACAAAGGAAATCCTCTGCTACATGAACATTAGGCTCCCTAAGAAGGATTTCAATGCCTGGCTGCATAATCCTGAATAATCAGTAACCTAGTGGAAAACCAAAGCTGTCTCATACTACTCTTTTTTTTTTTTTTTCTCAAATTAAACTGTTTAAAAGTTAAAGCTTCAGACCTGAGCTCTTCCCATGCTATTTACAGCTCTGTGACACTTCAGAATGGAAACCTCCATTCCAGGAGCTGCTCATTGCTCCAGGGGCTGGATTTGCCAGAGCCACCCCATGGGTGCAGCTGGAGCTTGGTGGCTCTCAAAGTGCAGCCAGGAGCTGCCAGCACAGGTAAACACAGCCCTGAAGAATAAAAATCTCACCTTAATACAGGAAAGGATTTCTGTTCCCATATTACATCCAATAATAACCCCGAGAGTGCTTCTCACCTGTGACCCAACCAAAAGAATGAACTTGGAATAGCTGAGGAACACCTGGGCACAGGGAGCAGGAGCTTTTATTGATGCTGGTTTTATTCACAGCTTTCATTAACTGATTTGTGTGTCCCTCAGCTCTCTGTGGACACCAGGGCTGTGTGTTTTGTGTGCTCTGTGCTGCTGAGCAGCTGCCACACCACAAATGTGGATTCAGAGCCTGGGCCAGTCCTCAGGCAAGGCTCCCAGCAATGCTCACTGACAGAACTGGGATGGAGCCCTGGAGAGGAGAACTCAGTCAAACCAGGACCATGCTTTGGATGCAGTTTGGGCTCTGCATTTCCAGTATCAGCAGCCAGATTAGCAAAACTAAGCAGAAACCACCCCCAAAGCAAGAGAGCTTTTCTTAGGGAAAAGGCTGTACATTAACTAATCTCATTACCAAGATTTCAGAGGCAGCCTTGCAGAGCAGCAGCAGTACATTTAACTAACTGAATATCATTCACTACGACAGAACTGAGAGAGGAAAAGGGGCACAAAATGCCAGCTGAGGCTGGAGGGCATCTCTTTGCTCCCAAATGAGCAGATTTTGGAGCTGAGCTGTGGCTGTGCTGAGCCACAGGAGCTCTCTGCAGCTCCCATTATCACAGAACCCAAAATCTGCCTTGTTTTGTGCACTCTCCAGTCAAGCAATTTCTGGAAATGGGGACACAGAGAGCCTGGCTCCTGCTCACTGGGGATATGCCAGCCCATATATGCAGCACAGCCCCAAATATCCTGCTTGGCAAGGCAGAATCCCAGGGAGAAATGACTTTTAATTCCATCTACTCGGTTTGGGCAGTAGCTGTGCACTTGAGACCCTCACAGTGTTTGTCATTTCTTATCTCTGTGTGTATCTACAGTACACAGATTCACAATGAGTGAGTTACAACCGGGGCAGAGAAGGAAACTAGAATCAAACCATCCTCTCCTCTCCTCTCCTCTGACTGCATTTCTCACCAAGGTCTGGAGCAAACTGATCACCCTCCCATCAGATCTGCACAAGGCTGGAATTGTCTCTCCCATTTCCTTTCCCTGCCTTGATCTTCAAGCTTTGGGGGTGATTTTGAAGCACTTTCTGTGGAACCTGAGGTGCTGTTGCTGCTGCTCTGATTTTTCCTCAGGGCTGTACTGGTTCCCAGTGCAGGCAGGAGCTGGGTGAAGGCACGAGGTAACAGGGAGGGAAGTCTGCAAGGATGTGGTTTAGAAGTTTCTTCAGCTGCCCTTGAAATTTCTGCCCATTATGAGATGGCCAGGTACCTACAGCTTGTACTGCTGAATGTTTCTCAGTCCATTCTGAGTTCCAGTTTCTCACTCACTGGCTCCTGGGTGCCCACTGCTGATGGATCTTCTCCTGTGAAAGCTCCACCCATTGCTGCCCTATTTGCTCTACTGACAGAAGTGTGGAAAAACTTCATTTTTATAAAGCTCCTCTGAAGTTCTGCTGCTCTGCTGATGTACATTGATCCCATGAAGCACAGCACCAGGGGAAGTGTGGAGGAGGGCAAGGAGGTGGACTCTGTATTTGTTATCCTGTTCACAATATAACACAACACATGTGCCAGAAGAAAAACCTTCAAAATCCTGGGGCTTCAGAGCAGCAGAACAACGGAATTTCCATGCTGTGACTTTCTTCCCCGTGTTTAAAGCTGCTCAGTTTGTCACACACGGCTCTGGGCTCACACAGCACCAGCAGGGGAAGGAGGAGCCAGCCCAGAACCAGGCTCTGGATTCACAGAGAAGCAGCTGCTGCTTTCCAGGCTCTTTCTGGGTGTGGTCAGTGGGACCTGGATTTGCAGCTCATCAGCTACTGAACATAAACCACAAACCTTCAGGGGAAGGTTTTTGTGTTCTTCAGAGCAGGAAACCACACCTGTCCCTGCAGGTGACCCGGGAACTCTGAATTTGCACAAAAGCATCAGCAAAAGCAGGCAGCTCCACCTGAATTCCCAGCAGGTGCAAAGGAGCCCATGCATGTAACTGCAATTGCTGTTAATGAATCCAGACACATTCTCTTGGTAAATTCCAGCTCAGCGAAATAAAATTTGGCTTTTTGCTTCCTTTTCAGTGCCACAATAAATTTTGTGTCCGCTTTTAAAAGGTTGGACCCCTGTGTGAAGGTCCAGAGCACTGAAAGGCATTTAAAGTTCATGAAATCAGCTGTAAATTTGGAAGCAAAGACTGGGAACTAAGAGACAATAAAAGAAATAAAAGGAGCAGCAGTCAGCACATTCAGCCAGGACACAAACTGTGATCTGAGCTGCCCTGGGACCACGAGTGTCACTGGGACACTGTTACCTGCTCTTGGCAGAGAGATCTTAATTCAGATTTCCATGGGGTTCTGTTACTGAGAACAATGTCATTCAGCCCAACTGAGGTTGTTAATTAATTAGAAATTAATATAAACAAGCTTTGAGCTGTTGGGCAATTGCTGGGCAGGAGCATTGCCTTTAAGCTCTTTACATGAACCATTCAAAGGGACATTTATTTGATAAGTAAATATTACAAGGGCAGGCAGGCACTGAGCATCTTCAGTTCTGGCCTCACTCTGTCAGGTTTGCCTGAATCCAAATTACCAGAAATCCCACACAATTAAAAGCACACAAAAATATCTGCCTGAACTTCTAAATGATAATAAGTGTAATTATTAAATAGTTCTCATCAATAACTCCTTTTTTTTTGCCCCTAAGTTTGTGGTTTAAGGAAATCTACAGGCTTTACATGAACTATAAACTCATGCACAGAGCCATTGTACCATGGGCTTTGCCTAAAAGACATAATTTATGGTGACTGGATTTTATTTTTAAGCAGAAAGGTTAATCCCAACAAGGTCTCTACACCAGGATTTCACAGAGGAAGATGATATTTCTAAAGAATTGAACATAAAAGCTTGATGGAGAATTTCAAACTGAATTAAGGATGAAAGGCCTCTGTGCTCATTTGAAGCTTCCTGAGTGCTTTTTAATATCTGAACCAATTGAAGATGTCAATTTGCCTTGAACCCCAAACCACTTCCCCATATAAAGAAAGAAATTTTGTGGAAACAAGAACATTCTAGATGGAAAAAAAAAAAAGAAATTAAAAAGCCTTTTTTTCCTTTATGATGAGATGAGAAAACCTTTTTGTTCCAAGCATTTAATTGAGCTGTGTTTTTCAGCCAGGTGTATGTTTTCCACAGCCACACTCCTCCAGAGGTTCTGCATATTTTCCAAACACACAGGACTCAGCTTCTGTGATTCCTCAGGATTGCAGCTTTTAGATTTTTAATCTATTTGTAATCCTGCAGTTCTTTAGTGTCTGACTCTGAATTCCATGTACAGTGTCACTGCTGCTGTCCCATTTTGGGCAGACACAACAATTCCTCTCTGGGCTGGGAATCGAGGACACCTCCCTGCCCCAGGCCTGAGAGGTGGAAACAAAAGTGACTGGGGGAGCAAACTTGGGGTAAATGACTTCATTACCTGGAGCTGGAATTGGGAGATTAACCCCAATATGGAAATGGATCAAACTTATAAAAGCTGGAAATTTGTGAAATTTTTGGGTGTAGCCCCTGGAGAGCTTCATCTGCCCCAAATGTACCTGAAGGCCCTTCAATAAACAGAACTGCTATTTATATATAAATATAAATATAAATATAAATATAAATATAAATATAAATATAAATATAAATATAAATATAAATATAAATATATTTCTATTTATATAAATAGATTTCTATTTATATAAATAGATTTCTATTTATATATAAATATACATTCCCTTAATTCTGTCTGCCCTCTGTTTTTAGGTGTCCCCAAAGGCAGCACCTGCACAGTGGCAATTCCCTGCAGGATTTCCTGCAGCAGGACCCAGCCTGGGCAATGCTCCTCCACTCCACCCGGGCAGCTGTGGGGCTGAGAGGCACAGCTGGAAAGGTGAGGGGAACATCTGGAGGAGCAGGGCTGCTTTTGCAGTGAATGGAATCCATGCACAGAGGACTTGAGGTGAAATTTCCAAGGCACTTCAGAACGAGGAGAAGATAAAAATTAAACTGGGTGTGGTGGCTGCACACTTCCCAAAAATCCCCCTCCTTTATGCTTTTGGAGCAGGAGCAGGATTAATTTGCAGGAGCTGATTTGGTGGTTATTCCCAGGCTGTTCTGTGTAGAGAAAAGAGGAGAATGCAGAAGCCACTGGGTGGCAGGAACTCACTTTGATGACATCCTCCCCGGAGGATTTGCACTCCACAGCCTCGGAGATGTCAGTGACAGCACTGTTCTCCTCGATGGACACCACCTTGATGGGCACTGCCACCGTCCTGCCCGTGAGGATGGCCGTGTTCAGGATCTCTGTGTCCTGCAGAACAAAGCACAGCACAGCTCAGCTCGCCTCCACTGAGACACAAACAACCAAACCCCAGCCCTGTTTGATCCTCTAAACAAACACTCAGTTCTACAGCACCAAGACTGCAGCTAAACTCAGCTCAGGCATCCTCTGCTTTTGAGATATGGGGGGGTTATTCCCAATATTCACCTTCCAACATGTGATTTCAGAGTTTTTATTGATGTAGACTTGACTGGCAATGTTTGGGTAAGGACACAAGAGCCTGCAGAGTAAAAATGTTGCTCTGTGAATCCAAGCCCAGTGCAAAGACGAGGCCTCTCCGTGAACTTTGTGCCTGGAACTGTTTCAAGATTATTTAATTTCCTCTGATATGGCCAATGAAGCAATGTAAGGAATCCAGAAGGAGTTAGTGATGCTGTTAACTGCAGGGGAAATAACAAGGAAATTTGAAGTCTGAACTGGGGTTGTGGCATATAAAAGCCTTTCAATGCACCATCAACCAGGCTAACACTTGGAACTCCTGAACTCTTTCAGCATCACTGTATTCCCAAGATTCCCATGCAGGAAGAAACTTCAAAGTTTTCTCCAACTTTTCAGCTTTCAATATAAAGTGAATAAAATATTCAGCAAATTCCTCAGCACTGAAGTCATGAGGACTGCAGCCACTGATGTCAACAGCAGCAAAATGAGGCACTGATACTGTTGATACTGTTTGCAATTCGAGTTTAGTGAGCCTGAAATTTAGGTCAGATTTTCTTTTCATCTGGCAACTTGTTATTTCTCAGGTTCTCCTGCAGCTCTCATAAGAAATCCCATCAAACTTAAAAGGAAATGCTGAAAGGGAATGTTGAGTGTTCTAGAAATGTGAGAACCCTAAATCATTGCTATTGCAGCATTGGAGAGCCCAGCCCTGGGAAGGGATTGGTGCCCATCCAGCCACAGCTCTGAGCAGAGATGGAAACCTTCTGCCTTCCCCTCCCCTGAAAGCAGCCATAACTCATGGGTATTACACAGATTAAGAAATACTGATGTATAAGCAATTAATATATTACACACTATACTAAAAGCAATTTTCAGCTCTGCCACTTCCCTTCCTCAGGCTCTAAGAGCTCTGTGATTGTTAAAACAAACCAGAAAAAAGAGACCAAAGAACAAAGCCTTGACTTTATTGTCTTTTTTTGTTTAGAACTAAAATAGAGAAGCTTGTATCCTATATCCCTGGATATGGAATAGCCTCATGGCACAGCTCTCTGTGCTCCCTTTATATTGCTGCAATAAAGCCAAAGGCAATTCAGGGAGAATTGTCTGCACCACGACAACTGACACGAAACTGAACCGTGCAGGGAAGCATCCACAGCCCAAGACTCCTCAAAAGCTGAACTGAAACAGATAAAAATAAAAGTCTGTCTGTCTGTCTGTCTGTCTGTCTGTCTCTGAGCAACAGGGCTCTGCCTCAGCACCCAGATTTGTTTCCCTACAACACCCCCAAATATCCACTGGTAAGCACAAGCAGCACATCAAGGCAATGTCAAGCACCAGCAGGAAAACAATTTTTCTCCCAGCAGCACAGGAAACCCAACAGCCAGAAGAGCTGGTGGCTTCTGGGTCTCATTTTTAAATGCAATATAATTTAAATTGAATATTTAATAATTGAATAATTAAAGCCTGATTGCAGGCCAATTCGGGAGTACACAAACAACATTCCTAAGAAACTTTCAGAGAGATTACAAATTCATGTAAAATGAAGGCACTTTTCAAAATCACAATATCTTGGCCATTTCCACGTCCTTTAATTTTTAAAATCCCCCAAGAACTAATCCACTTTCTGTGCAGGCAGCAAGTAAAATTCTAAAATGAAATTTATTTTGAGTGACAAAAAAACTGAAAGCATCTGATAGCAGTGTTTGGACTTGTTCCCCAAGAAATTCAAAAATGAGGGAAGTAGAGTAAATGGAAAAAACAGAAGGAAGATGCACTGTAAGTGAGCATCAATATCCAGGTCAGAAAGAATTTCTGTAAGTGAATTGCAAACTCTCAAACAGGGCTGGCACTTGCAGAGCTGAAACAGAAAGCTACACAGATAATCCTCATGGAAACTGGGGACACTGGAGCTGTCTTGGCAGCACGATGCCCAAATCCCAACAACATCTGACTCTGATATTGCACAGTTGGCTTTCCTGCCTGAGGAACATCCACAAACTCCCAGTTAGGATGGGTCTTTCCTCTTACCAGGGCATTCCTTCAATGGGTACAACACATGGAGGAAATAATTACTATTTAAACATATTTAATTAACGAATAGTATAATTAAAGAACAATTTTTCCTCTAATGATTAGAAGAAAAACTCTAGTTGTTAGGCTCAAGGAGGAATCAAAGGAAACGTTTGAAAGCAAATTACTGAATTTTATGTGTAAGAAATTACTTTAAAATTTATTGACAGAATTTGATGCAAAACCACCACTCCCCCAGGAGATCTCCAAGCTTTCCTCCTTGTAGCTGCTGTTACAACACAGAGCACCATAAACACCATAAACACCACTCACACTCTGCTCCTGCCTGTGTCAGGGTTAATTTGGACTAGCAGCAATATTGGCCTCAACATTTCCTTCCACAGCTCCACTCACTGTGCAACTCCAGAGCAAAATCTGCAGGATTGGTTTTCAGGAAAAATCACTTCTTCCTTAGAAAGGGAAAAGAATATCCCTAAAGCAGAAGTGCTCTAGGCAGAGCTGAGAAGGCTGTGCTCACATCTGGTCATTCAGAGCTAGCAAAGCCCAGGGCTGACTCTGCAGCAGTCTCACATTTTATTCCATCCCTTTTCAGCCAGGGAACTTGCACTGATGGCAGTGGGGGCTCTGCACAAAGAGCAGGAACACAAAGTCTTGCTTGGACTCAGCTGAAGAGCAAACCTTATGTTCATCCAACCTCTCAGTGTAAGAAGGCAAGCATTCAGCCATGACTGATTCAGGAACTAATTCAACACTGAATTGTGGCAGAATGAGGAAGCAAAGTGACAGCTGTTTAATTAAACTCTAAATCCGATTAGATGGTGTTATCAAGAGAAATCCATGGGAGCCTGAGGTCATGAGAATGGTCCAGTTTGCAGGCTGAGATTTCAGCGAGTGGAGCCTCCCAGGATGATTTTCATTCAGATTTCTCCTTCACAGCCACACCACCCTCACCAGTGACAAACCTGGGGCTCAGACCTGAAGGACTGACACAAAAACACCATTTGTGTTTTGACAGGGAAAGCTGCTTGAAAGAGCATGTGGGAAAGAGGCAGTTGGGCACTACTACCTGGAAATGAACCCAGCATTTGTCTGAGAGAACAAGCACAGAGCCAGCAAGTGCTGGCTGCTGGCAGGGCTGCAGGCAGTGGGGACAAAGCCCAGGCAGGACAGCTCCAGGAGCTGGGCTGTGCTCCCAGCTGAGGCTCCCCCATCAGCCCGGGGAGCACTGACACCCTGGCAGCACATCTGCAGCAGCAGGAGATGCAGATGTGCAGATGTGAGCTGTGCATCAGAGCCTCAGAGCAGGCACAGAGCTGCACTGCACTGCAGGCAGTGGTGCTGCTGATTTGGGAACACAGGGGGTGTGGATTGGAGTTATTCATGCTGCTAAGATTACAGCTGATTAACGAAATAACATTGTTAGGCAGCAGACTCTGTTTATCTACATAATCCTACGATTAACAGTAAATTATACATTGTGCTTTCTGCCAACTGGGTCCTGTGGCACTCCACATGCACAGGCACTGTGCACAGGAGGGGAAAGGAGCTGACATTCTGCTTTCTACATTCTCAACACACCCTGCAGGAGAACAGGAATGTTCCTGCACACCAAGGACGAGGATGAGACACTCCTTGGTCTGCAGGAGTGGGGCAGAGTCACCCTCTGGCAGGAGTGGGGAAGGACAAATTTTGTTGGTTGGATTTTGGGCTGCTCCTTCACTTGATTCCAATGCTATTGGTCCATCACATCCTAATCCTGCTCTGCTTCATTTTTCACTTTATAACATGAGGGCTTTTACCTCTTGAGTAATGTCAAGTGCAGAAGAAACTGCAATGGGGTAATGCTGTTCAGGAGGGAAACCAAAAGGAGACAGCCTGCTCCTTTAACAGCATCCCTCGTCTCCAAAGAAGGATCCAGGTGGAATCCAGGTCACTCCATGACTCCAAGGTCCACACTGCCAAGGGAAATGTTAGCTAAGGATCAAATTAACTGTGGAGAAAAACTGGGCCATTCCAAATCTACATAAGAAACAGACTTAGTGAATAGAAGTTGCCATTTCTGCATCTGTTTCAGACGAGGACAGGAGAACAAAGGAGCTCAAAGTCTCTCCTGGATGCTAATTCCACCTGACACACTGTGAGGAATCTCCTCTTGGTTAAAGCCGTGTTAAATGGCACAGAAATTAAATAAGAAAGCAGCCCCTGCCCTGGAGAACAAGCACAGCCCGAGTATCTCTGGTGGAGGCTGGCACTGCTCTGTCCCTGGCACACACAGCTTCTGCTCCAGGAGCTGCCCAGGGTCAGCCTGGGGGTTCCAGGCAGGCTGGGGGGCTCCAGGAGCCTGCAGAGGCTGCAGGGAGGGGATGTGGGACCAGGGACACAAGGAAGGCACTCAGACCCATCTTTCCCACCTGCCAGGAGAGTGGCTCTGACACTCAGAGCCCATCATTAGTGCTCATTATCAGAGCCCATCATTAGAGCACAGCATCAGTGCCCAGGCTGGGCTGGGACCCCTGACCAGCTTCTCCCGGGGCTTCCTGGGGCCAGGAGGAGAGAAGGAAAAGCTGGGATGGGAATTTTTCAGGCCCAGCACTATCTTCCCTGTAGCTTTGGTGGACAGTGTAATTTATGATGAAGATCTAAGTGTCTCTTCAAAATGGGAACTCGGTGTTCTGCAAACGCAATGCCCTTTTCATCAACGATCTTGTCTCTGCTTAGTCTCCACATTAACATAAATCTTAATTACTGGCCCCCTACATTAGCAACAAACCGTTCCATTT